TTTTTTTTTAATACTCAGTCCTTGCACTGCAAAATCCTTCCTAATTTAGCAAGAGGAATGCTATTATATCATATCCTATTTGAATTCATGGGAACTTAGGAAAATACACTTCTATAGATATTAAAAAAATGCTACTGTAATGCATTTGTATGATTTCATAATATAGGTAAAGCCTATGCTTGGTAGTGTGTGGGTGGGGGTTTTTTTGGGGGGGTGTTCTTTTGTTTTGCCAGATTGAAGAGGCTAGAAACAAAGGTGGTGATCTTGTTAAAATCAGGTATTTCTTTTACCCCTAGGAATTAACAGGTAAATTACTTCTTTTTCCCCATTTTTCCTGCCCTTCTTGCCCACTTTCCCTCCCTCTCAAAAAATAAAAATCCCACAGGGCTTATCCAGGTTGGGAAGTGGAATCCAGTTCCACTCTCCTATGTGACAGATGCCCCTGATGCTACAGTAGCAGACATGCTGCAAGACGTGTATCATGTGGTCACACTGAAAATCCAGTTACACAGGTAAGTTGCATACCAGTTCTGGGATGTGAACTGTTACTTGTCTGCTCTTACTGTTCATATTGCTCATATTTAATTCCCACTGTGCCGTGTGCTCAAAGTACAAAGGCTTATCTAAATTCCTTTTTAGTTACTCTAATTCTTCTTTAACTTACAGTATACTATTGCAGAAAACTTTTATAGCTCTGATACATAGATTTTCTTTGGATATCTCATTAAAACTATATTGCATTTTAGTCAATTAAATGATGCATTACAAGAAGGCATTTTACATAAAGTTTACTTAAGAGAAAAATATTTTTGCATATCATGAACAGTACCATCTGTGTGCATTTTGTAGAAGAATGACTTGCTCACACTTATTGTTGCTGTCTAGGTTCTTAAATTCACAGTAGCAAAAAAGAAAAAAACAGTTAATATATTAATGCTTTTCATGATCAGTTGTGAGAAAGCATTACACCTTAAATTGTTTTACCAAGCGCATCAGAGCAGGAAGGTAGAAGTAACATGAAAAAATAGTCGCCACATGCAGCTGATGTATAATTCATGCATCAATACAGCAGATGTGTTGTATAAAGTAATTAACTAATCGGAACAATCAGGAGACCGAGAGCAATCTCCAGATGCATCTGCTTGATGCGCAAAATGAAATCTGTCTGTCTTAAAGGAATGTTCTGCAGCAGGATGCAATCTTGTAATAATCCCTTTTCTAATCTGTGTTTCAAATAGTTGCCCTAAACTAGAAGACTTGCCTCCTGAACAATGGTCTCACACAACAGTAAGAAATGCTCTGAAGGACTTACTGAAGGATATGAACCAGAGTTCATTGGCCAAGGAATGTCCCCTTTCACAGGTACTTAGCATAACATGTAATAAATAATAAAGCACTATAGGCAACGCTGATGTGAGATTTGAGATTTCTACAGACTGTAGCAAGTAGTACCCGTGGAGTGAATCTGCCAAAAATGCAAATTCATTTGACCACTTCATGATCTTTATAAATATGCCTGATTCATTTTGAACATAGTCTTACAACATTTCCCATGGGGAGTCATGAAAGGTTGTTTACACCACACTAAAATTGTCTCACAGCAAACTGGATTTTAACTGGTTTTTTGTCTTTAGTCTTTGAACTGCTTTGATGCAACTACTTTTTTCAAGCACATGTGTTCAAGATGTTAAAAGGCTCTTTACTTACTGCTGTCAAAAGTACTATTGAATCTGAATGCTTGTTAGATAACCTACAGTAGTTTTAAATGCTAATTCGTAAAATGAGACAGTCTTTGGCATGCTATATGAGAAGGGAATAAAGAATAAAGCTCTTTGGATGATGTGTTGTTGTTGCAAACAACCAAAGGAAAAGCAGTCATTTATTAGTTCTAATCAAAATATACCTAAACAAAAATGAAACCTCAATTTATGTATTGCTAAATATTGAACTGATGCTTTCCTCAAGCCTTAGCTGTATTGTTCTTTTCTGCCATTCTTTTTGTAGTTCTTTTGTTACTGTGAAGTTACTGTGAAGGCGCAACTTATTTTTCTGTGCATTACGCTGTCCAATGATGATGTGGTGGGAACATCATATTTCTTTTCAGCTTTTTAAGTTTAAAAAAATGTGTATTGTTGTGCAGTAGTGGAGGCAAATTCAGTATACAAATAAATGATGCTAGTTGTGGT